TCGACCTCTAGATTCCTCGCTTTTTCCACTACCTTTGAGATGACTGCATAATACGTGTGCATTAGTTGCGGAAGTTGAATAACATGTTCATTACTAAATATTCCATGATGACCTATTACCCTCTTTCATGATTAGATATTTTTAAAAATACAGGTTTTGTCCATCAAAGAAATATTTTTCGTGTTTCTCATATGTGTGAAAGCAGAATTAGGTAGTATTTGGTCAACCGTATTACCATTTGACAGAATGATTTTCATCCTAGCGCGACCACCAACCAATATCATAGGCGGGAAATCCATTCTCACTCCCGACTGGATGGGAATCAATGGTCACGACTTCTCACTAGAACTCCAGGAAACTCTGTCCTGTAGCAAGTGACTAGCTAGCATCAGGTCGGACTAAATATCACGAATTGGTAGAAGTTAGAATTCATGGGCTGGCCATTGAATCGGTTCTCACTTACTGAATGGTATACAAGCTTTCCTTGTAACCGGTAGGTCCTGGGCTCGAACCACGGTAGTGGGTACGTATTGCCGAACTAGAAAGATGAATTACACAGGGTAATCACCTCTAATTGTATCTGTCAGTTAAGCTTCTTCTGTTGCTCTTGGAACCTAATTTTTTGTGCTCAAGAACACCTACCAGTGTGGCTAAATAGAGGTGCCGTAAAAACCACCAACCGTTCTATATTGGATCATCTTGAGCGAATAGGCCACAAAACTATCTGGCACTGAAGAATCTCTGTCATCTATCGGGTGAGGAATAAATTACTAAAGGCCTCTAGATACCGATCACTCCAAACAGTAGAGGCCACTGGAATTTACTTAAATAGACTGAAGCTCTTCGGTCCAGTCAGTATCACTGCCCTGGCCTGCTGTGGAACTTATGAATTCATAAATTCTATATTATTTCCCTCAATTCGACTGATGTACACTTAGTGTAGTATTATATTAATGCATATTATCTCCCTCTCTCTCTCTCTCTGAATGCTCTTGAAATGTGATCTGGGGATACTATTGGTTCAGTTTAATTTAAAACAGTATCATGTTGCTAATAGCAATTACTTCTCCTTTTTAAAATTGATGGAAAAACTACTTTTACTTCATCTTGAACCTTCATTGAAACCTTTTAATGATCCTAAGCAATTCGCATATAAACATGGTAGAAGTACCTTGGATGCTGCGGTTGTCTTATATCATAATGTTGTTTCTTGTTTAGACAAAGGTGCCAAATATGTTCGTGGTGCTTTCCTAGACTACACATCTGCGTTTGACTCTGTACCTAGGGGCCATTTATTAAATAAGCTCTCCTTGACGCACACAGCATCCTGGTCTAAGAGTTGGTTGCATTCTTATTTTTCTGATAGAATGCAGTATACTGTATATAATGGCAAATCTTCTTCTGCTTTGCTTACAAAAGCCGGTGTTCCTCAAGGTGCCGTCCTCTCTCCTTTTCTTTTTTCTTTCTTCCTACACGACCTGCCTCATTTAAACGAAACTAATTTTGTCAAATGTGCTGATGATCTGACTGTATCACTGCCTATCACTTCCGAGTCTGACTGCTCCAAACTTAATAGCTTTCTGTTGGACATCAGCATGTGGTCTAAGTCAAATGGTCTTATGTTAAATCCTTCCAAATGTCAGGCAGTTAACTTTACTTTCAAGCATCGACGTGACATACATGAACTAGTTAGTTCCCATGATGCCTGTAGCATAGATGGCACAGAAATTGAAACCAAGTCAAGCATTAAATACCTTGGATTAGTTCTTTCCTCTGACCTTTCATGGTCATCCCACATCTTATTGATCTCTAAGAAAATGTTTCGTCCCTCCTTCTACATTAAAAAGTTAAGACAATCAGGTATCAACCAACCTTTACTTCTGCAGTTTGTAAACTCTTGTATTTTACCTATTGTACTCTATTGTTCTCCATTAATCTTTCCTGGGCTTCATAAAAAAGACCTTGTCATATTACGAAGGGTATTAAATGCTGTGAGTAGGGCTTGTGGTTTGCCACTGCGTGAGCTCGCCAATACTATAGTCGAGAGACACGTTAATTCTTGTAGAAAGTGGGCAAAGGCCGTACTGTCAGACTCTCTGCACCCTCTTTATTCACAACTATCCCCTTGTATCCCATCAGGTAGGATGAGAAGTCAATATAAAAAGTTATATGCTTGTACCACTAAGTACAAAAATTCTACAATACCATATTTAGCCTGTATTTTATGTGATGAAGACTCTGTTAGACATGAAACATATAAGTTACTATGTAATTAGCATAGTGAATCGACCCTTTCATTGTTCATCTTTCTGTAATTCTATGGTGTCACCCTTTCTATCGTTTAATTATAACTTTGCTATTTTTATTTTAGTTGTTATTACTATTATTACTATAATTTTATACTTCATGCGTATTTTTCTCCTTATCGTATACTGTAATTGCTACATAGCTGCTATAAAAACGTTTTGTTAGCATTATTATGTAATGATTATTTATTTTACTTATTTTTTGTTGTTGTCATTTTTGAGTAAATTAGATGCAATATTGTACTGAATGCTGAAAATTCCTTGCTGTATCATAAGTACTGTTTTTGGAATAAAGCAAATTATTATTATTATTATGGTCATATAAATGTATAAGCTAATGACGAATTTATCGAAAATAATACTCTTTATTTATTAATCAGTCTTTCATATATATATATATTTCTGTGATGTAATGACTGCAATGAAATGATCACGAGGTTAACAAAGGGCGGTACACCGCCTGGCCAGTGATCTAAAGGGCGGTTGTTTAAACCATTCAACAAAACACTTTAATTCAGTCACCAACTTGTGTATACATCTGTATATTATAAGGGAAGACATTCTCTAAGTAATTTGATCTCATTTTATCGTCTGTTGTCAAGTCTACTAATATAATTAAAAAAATATTGTCTTGCCATTGTTGGTTTCTCATTTCTCACATAAATTTTATTTGGACGCTTAACCATATTTCCAATATATAGTTTTTGAAGTTCAGATGAACTATGTCATTTTTCACACTTATTACATAATATAACCTTCCATTTCTGAATCTCCTCTTGTGTATTTCTTTCAAGACCATAACTCACAGTAATATATGAAACATTTTCTAAAACATAAAATTGCCAGTATGTGGTTGGTGATTTATAAATTCCCTGCTGGATATAAATAAGCACGATTGTAGAATAAATTTATATGATAAAAGCACGCTGAGTGATACAATATTATGCTCCCTAGTGACCTGCTACAGGACAGAGTTTCCTGGAGTTCTAGTGTAGAAGTCGTGACCAGTGAGGTCCATCCAGTCGGGAGTGCCGATGGAGTTCCCACCGATGACATTGGTTGGTGGTTGCGCTAAATCGCGAATTGGTAGAAGTGAGAATTCATGAGCTGGCCAGTGAATGGGATCCCAGTGGCTGAATGGCATACGAACCAGCTTGCCTTATAACCGCGTGCTTCTGGGTTCGAACCGTGGCAGTGGGTGCGTACTGCCGGTGATTCCCAAACTAGTGGGATGAAACAGCTATTCAGTACTCTTTTGCTGATTTTCAATGGTTCTCTAACTGATAACAATCGGTGGTCAAACTCCTTTATACAATATTATTTATTTACTGATGACTTTTTTATTACCATTCATTTTTTGCTCATAATCATATGGAAGCCTCATTTATATGGTTCCATTATTTCTTTTCCTTTAATTTTATTCGTTGTAGTACTTTCCGTATCTCTAGTATTGGTTCCATGTCATTCTTTTTGCACCTTTAAGGTGTAGATTCGATGAAAAAAGCTTCAGTATTCAACCTTTCCAATCCTGTATTGTGTTTCTGGATGCTAATCCATATATTGCGGTTGCTGAGTTCTTTTTTCCAAGCTGTTCATCTTCGCTTAGCCATTGTTTAATGGCTTTTGAGAACGATTTAACGGAAAGACCAGTTTTATTCGCCGTTGCATCTTTAGTCTTATGATTCAATATTAGGGTGTTTTCTCATCACATAAATATA